GTGACCAATGCCGTTTCCGTGCTGTGTCCCGGCCTGAAGCCCGACTGGTATGGGTCTAGATAGTCTGCTTCCTCCAGGTGCCGCGGGAACTGCCATGCAACCACACTCTCAACAACCTTCGCCGTAAAGCGAAGGTTGGAGACCGGGCGATAATTGGCCAACTCGTCTGGATCCAGGGAAGGCTTCTTGAGGAGGGGCCAGCAGTTTCAACACAGCCAACTGTTAAAGTCTTTAGTTGCCTCCAAACAACGGAGCTCATTCCCTTTTCCCCTGCAGGGGCCTCCCAAACACCCAGAGTTAATCTCAGTCTCTCACCACGCTTGCAGCAAGAGTCCTTCAGGCAAGCTGGCTCTCTTCTAACATAAGACACATGCACATGACTTCCAGCGCCAGAGGATCCGAGAAAACTTCGGCAAGTTTCCAAACAGCAGTTCCAACTAGAAGTTGCTGATGGGCAGGGAGATGAATAGTTGTCTGCCACACCTACAGTATTCATCTCCGCCCCTGCCTTTTATCCACAGCTGCGGGTGGGGTTCTGTTAGCAGCAGTGGCTCTTCTGCCCCAAAGACTGGCCCATAGCCTCTCACTGTTCTCCTCTCCTCAGTCTCCGTTGCACCCGCGCATCAATCACTGGCCCAGTGGTGGGATTCAAATATGTGAACAACCGGTTCTCTTTGTGGATGCCACTTCCGGAAGTCAATTCTGGGCCTGGGCAACAAAAAATTAGCTACCGGTTCTGCGGAAGTGGTGTGAACTGGCTGAATCCCATGTGATCCTCCTCTCCTGAATCACTTCCCTCAAGGCATGGAGGTCTCAGCCTTTCCAATTGGGGGCTGACAGATGGCCCAGGCTCTGCCTCTGTCCCTGGCTGCGATAGATCCATTCCTTCATCCCCATCAGAGTTTTCAGATGGCCCTGATGCTGGGCCCGACGCTCACTCCTGTGCTTCCTCCTCTGAGTTGGTTGTGAAGTTTTCCGGCAGCCGACAGGCCACAACATTACCTGTAATGGTTTCCAAATAGAGTTTTCCAATCTGTATATGAGGTAGAGGTCAACCACCCAAGGCCTGCGACAATTCTAGCAACTGTGCCTCCCCACGAGTATACAAGCATAGGTAGTCCTCAACTTATGACCACAATTGACTCCAAAATTTATGTTGCTAAGTGAGACATTTGTTAAGTGAGTTTTGCCCCATTTTATTACTTTTCTTGCCACAGTTGTTCAGTAAATCACTGCAGTTGGTAAATTAGTAATCTGGTTATTAAGTGAATATGGCTTCCCCAGAATATGGCTTGTCAGAAGGTTGCAAGAGGATCACACGACCCTGGGACACTGCAATTGTCATAAATGTGAGTCAGTTATCAAGCATCTGAATGTAAATCACATGATTATGGGGATGCTGCAATGATCATAAGTGTGAAAAATGATCATAACTCACTTTTTTCAGTGCCATTGTAACTTTGAAAGGGTCACTAAGTGAACTGTTGTAAGTCAAGGACTACCTGTGTCTCCCAATTTAAAAGTAGGTTTGTAAAAATCAAAGTATCAGGCAATGACCAAATCTCACCAAATCTTCATATTTAAGTCTGCAGTCTTACAAGATTTATAATTTTTTTTCTAAAATCTGGGGCAATTATGGCATACAACTATGGCAAGTGTAGGATTTAATAATTTGGAACTTGGGCAATTAAAAAAATGATTTAATTTGGCATCAGGTACATCCCTCTCCATGCTGTTAGGAATCACCATATGTCCCCAGATTACAGGTTGGGAAAAGTTGTATTAAATAATTTGGGTTCTCCAACCTTGATGCCCTTTTATGCTTCCTCCCCTCTCCCAGCATTTGATGCCTCAAATCTACCCATGGAGGAGGACATATATGCAAATTTTATACATCTGCGTGCTACTTCAGCAACTCAAGAGACATGTTCTGATCAGCATACATAATGAAAGCAGTGTACATGTAAACCAGTTTGCCTCTATTTAGTATGTTCCTTGTCTCCCTGTAATCATAAATAATACTCAGATGTCTTTAAATGTGATTTTATTAGTCTGACAAATTAATATCAAGCAGACAAATAAACTAGATTCATGTTTTATTTTCTGTATAATAGTGATTCTATTTTTAACAGGTCTAAAGAGAGAGTATGCTAACATGGAAACATTGGAAATAATTTTACAGTGGTTCCAAGCAGTAATTCCAGAGGAAGTCAGGTGGTTCATGACTTGGGGTTCTTCCTGACTTGTGATCTGTTTAAATAACCAAAGGAAGTTAGGAAGCTTGATCTCATTAACTCATGCCTTGATCACCATTAGCTGAACTCCTGTAGCACACTCTACAAGGGCTCCTTGGAGCTCACTCAGAAATTTCAGCTAATACAATAGGTGGCAGCCCCATTAATATAAAACTGCCTCCAAAGTTGCTGCATTGGCTTCTGAGTCTAATTCAAACTGTGGACATTACTTTTAAAGCTCTGAATTGCACAGCAGTGGGAAAGATCAGGCAATTCCTTGCCAGAATTAAATCTGCTCTGGTCGGATCATTGAAAAAGACTCTGCTGAAAATTCACTCCTCTTACTGAGGTTCATGGTGCATGACTGAGATGGCATTCCTTTTCAACAATAGCCCCCACTTTGTGGAATTCTTTCCTAAGAACTATGTTCAGCGTCTTGCTGCAATTTGGTAAACAAGTTATTCCAACGTGGTTTTGAACCCAGCTCACTTATCATGTTCACTTATCTTGGGTTTTATCTTTGCTTTGCTTTTGTAGTAGTTGTTGTTTTGAGCAGATTTACATTAATTTGGATTTGCTATTGATTATGTTTTTGGTTGATGCTATATACTGCTCAGAATCTTTTGGGGTTGGGAAGGGAAAGGTTAGAAGTACTGTAAATATATATAAATGCATACTCTGGAGATAAATTTGACTACATAAACAGCATTTCCAGAGCTTCCCAAAGCCTTCAGATCATAAACAGCAGTCTCAGTGATGAATTCTGTAGACAGAACGTTATTTTATATATAGAAAATATCCTTTGGCATATTTATGCATTTCATAATCCAGAATATCTACTCAAAACAACACAAATTTAGACAACTGTTCAAAGTAAGGAGTAAGAGATAGCACCATATTAATAGAAGAGTAAACATTGAAATATATGAGCAAACTTGCTGAAAGAAATTCTCATTTCTCAAATGAGATGGCACCAGATTTGGCTACAAGGAACTACCACAGAACTTCTCTATTCCTGATATTGTTTTGCACAGAAGCCATTCAGTTTTGTCCTGTTTGTCACATAGGATATCATATAATGTACTTTAAGGTCCAAGTTGGAAACTCAATGGCAGCTTTAAGTTAGGGAACCTGTAGTAATGTCAAGTAGTTGGTAGGAGGGACAACATTGTTGTTGATTTCTAATGCAACACTTCCTACATTATTGATGGGAGTCTTGTGGTTTTGATAGCAACTGAAAATCACAGGATAATTGTTCACTCACTCACATTCTTGAACAACAATTGACAAAGAATACCTCACACAGTATTTAAATGTACCACAGCCGATCTGTATTAGGCAAATGTCAATGCTTTATGGGGTTAAAAGATAATTCAGCAGTGCAGTATAGTCCCCAAGTCAAAGTGAGAATAAGAAATGTGATTATGATTTTACAGATTAACTTAACAAGCAGTTAACAAAAGGTCTACCAGAAAAAGTATTCCAAGTAGGATTACTGCTGACCAGATATGCACAAAGCTTTCTCAAGGCAATGCAGCCTATCTATGCTTCCCAGCAACATGATTTACATCAGATAATTTCCAAAGGGGTCAGGGTAAAAGATACACTCTGGGACATGGATCTCAAATTCAAACCACCAAAAGTGCTTCTAACACTCTAGTTCACAAGGTCACAAATTGAGGGCTACAACAGTGGAAAAAAAATTCCAATATTGATACAAAAATCTTCAATGATTCAAAACTGAAGAAATGAAGAGTACAACAGTATGCTAACAAACATAACTTTATTGAAAAGAAAGCCATTTCACATTGGTCATTTAATTACCAGCATTTTTATTAATATCAATTGGACTACATTTTTGGGTTTTATTACTGGGATGATATGTAAAATATTTCAAGATTGCGCACTGCATAAGATGACTTTGAGTGTGTGTATACGTTTGAGGGACCTGTTTTAGAAATCAAAACATCAGAGTCTTCATACAATACCAGGCTGGAACCAAACCCTGAGTATTTTATACAAATAACGTACAAATAAAAAATGAGATTTATTCCCAAGTAAGTATATGTTCTTCTTCAGTACAAAGCAGCATAATTTAATTTGCCCCAAAATTACACAGATCTCAATTGAGATCTATTCTCAAGCAAATATACAAGAGATCCTACATACATTTATTTTAAAAAAAGAAGTTTGTTGTTCTTTCCCAGTTGGTACCCTCCAGATATGTTTGGCCTACAATTTCAAGCCAATTGAGCAATGGATTATGAATACCTGTATTAAATGGCAATGTAGACTATTAATAGTTCCCTTCCTGGAATGGAAGACAGAAAATAGGGGGGGGGGGTTCCTTCCTTTTCATTTTATGTCTGTCTCTATACCATTTGCTGTAAAACTGTGTTTTAAAAGTACCAAGCAAATAAAAGTGAAAGGGGCTTATCCATTAGTTCACATTTGTGCTGTTATCCCTTTGATAACATGCTCCAATGCCAGTAAATAAGAAGAGTAGCAAAGAGATCATAGAACTACCATGTTTGGGTAAGGCAATGGCTTCTGATCAGAGGACCAGTCACAGAAGTATCCTGGATTATTTGTTTTGCAAATGATGTGGCCAATATTGCTGAAAATTCTGTTGCAGATGCCCAGTGCCGAAGGCTGCTGTTGTAATAACCTGATAAGAAAGAATTGTTTTGTAACATTGGCAATTTTTCATAGCCTTCAGGTCTCTATTGTTGACTGCACAATAAGAATATTTAAGATGTCAATATTTTGCACCACTCCAAAATGATGGTTATGAAAAGTTATACTAAGTTTCAGAACTGTACCCAAAACCTTTTGCCAATTAACTCATTCAAAACTGTATTTGATGGAGAAGCTATAGTGGATTACTGAAACAATTGGAACACTTAAGTTTTCCCATACATTTTTCTCTATTTTTCAATATAGAAAATATAGAAATATATAGAAAATATACCTCTAGGACAAGAGACTGGGCTCAAAGGTCTAGAAAAGCCATTGTCTCCCTCCTGGCTAGTCTGCAGCAAAATGTTCAGTTGAATCGGTCTTTCCCAATCTTGTGCTATCTAGATTTGATGACACCCCCCCTTTCCATTATTAAGGGATTATTAGAAGGATTCTAAAGGAGTATTAGAAGGATTCACATTGTTCTATTGATAACCTTCTTAGGTTGCTGTTTATAGAGTATTACAACATAGTTTTATGGCCTGAAACTCCTCTTTCTTAAACTCCCCCCCCCCCCACTTTACATGTGTAAACTCACATACCTGAGCAGGATTGAACAAAGGAACTGTCCCTTCTGTGTAGGGTAGAGGCACACTATCAGGGTTGTACTGATGTCTGAAAGAACTAGTCTGAAATATCAGGGGGGAAATTATTAACTGTCAAGAGTAGTCAAGAAAAGCAAGAAGTACGTTACCTACAACTTCAATCACTCAAATGCCAATTTGGTTTCCTCCATATATTTCTGAATTTCACATCCAATAAGCCTAAATCAAGATTATTATGGATACTGTAAACTGAAACATTGGGAAAGTTCATGGTAACCTATCATTGGAATGTAGTGTACCACCAAATGTAAAGTTCCCACAACAATTGGCTTGTTCTTTTTCCAACCTGGATTGCCAGAAAGTCTGTTTAGTAGACCTCTTACCTCCCCAATGACATTTTTTTCCAAACCAAAGGTTTCATTTTGTATTCCACATCTCACCTGATCACCAGCATCTGAAACGATGGTTGCTTCCATGCTGCTAGGGCCTTGTGAATTTTGAACTTCTGGAGAATTAACAGATATTATATATTTTTCAAAAGTAGATCATCATGGCTCAGATTTAAAGTAGAACTGTAGTACAGGTAGTCCTCGAGGTCATACAGTGCAATGTCAGGTGACCACGCAGAATTACAACAGTGGTTGTGGCAGTCCTAGCTGTATTGTTAGGCAAATCTCACAAGGTCATAGAATCCTGTGGTCATGTGATCACCATTTGTGACCTCTTGCCAACTTCTTGCCAATGACTTTGTTTGTCAGAAGCCAGTAGTGAACATGATGTTGATGTGACTGCAGGATACTGTGATATTGTAATTGAGAGGACCAGTTGCCCAAAATCCAAATCAAAATCACATGACCATTGGGACACAGTCACAATTATGAAGATCCATCATACTCCTCCCCTTGCTCAGCACTATAGTAAGTTTGAGAGGTCTTTCAGTGAGGACTACCTGTGGGAAGGGTACTTCTCTACTGCATCCCCTTGATATCAAAACCCTTTAGTTTTCCCTATCTCCAAGAACCTGATATCAAATGTTGAGGGGTATACCAAAAATTGGGGTTTCATTGTG